CTGCAATTCACCAGCCATGGTCACGATGACCCCAAGACGATCACCAACCTGCTTCAGCGTGCTCTTCTAGTTCAAGACTTATGTTTTAGGACTTTGAGCTTAGGATGCAGGGTGTACGGTTCGGGAACAGAGTTTCGGAGCCTAGGCTGAGGGTTCGGATTGTAAGGAGCGGTAAATGGACACCAGGTCCCCAACTATTAACTGCAACGCGCTTCTAAACTCGAAACTCTGAAACCATGTTTCACAAGACTTTCCATTTACGACCTCATCGAATGAAAACCCCGACCCCGACTTTAAGGACGTCGGTTTAACGGCTGACTACTCATGGGAAGATCATTCATTCCAAGCCCAAATCGAGCGACCGGATTCCCATCCATCAGACTCCCCAACTTAATGAACTAGCAGATGCGCCTTAAAACTTGGCCGAAGCTTGGCTACCAAGCCAGCTAAGAGTTTTGGGGCCTCCAACAAACCACCTGTCACCTCTCAGGGATGAAGACCTTCATGCACAGCCCAACCATGCCCAACCCAAGGCCCCGGCAGAACTCCGAACCAACCTTCACCTTGAACTTCCTTGCCCTCTACCAAAACGAAGCCGCAAGCACCCCAGAAGAAAAGTCTCAGCGGAGGCCCTGCTGAACCATCCCTCAAAGCATCGAGGAGCCGCCTTGAGCGCCTTCGGGGACCAGGGAGCAGGTCCCCAAAGGAGCTGTGCTCCATCCCACTCCATGCCTCGGCGGGGTCATCGACAGCAGCAACAGCACCCCACACCACACCAGCCCACCAAAACCATCACGACCACTCCTATTGCTGCCACCATCTCCCTTATGATCGCAGAGGCTGCTGCTCTCTTTTCGTTGGCATTGAGAGCTTTAGTTCCGGACATCGAGTTCAAACCTTGACCACTTCGCCAACTTCCAGCCCTTCAGCTCCCGCACGTGCCCGGGAATCTGATAGAAAGAACCCTAGTTGGACTAGTTGGAAGTCTCGGGTCATGAGCTTGTTCAGAACCCTTCTCCAAAGCCGCGAAGGACTTACTCCCGGAACCCAGAATATCTACACCCAGACCCCTGCGCCCTGAACCCTAAACACCCCTGAGCCCTGAACCCAAGACTGCAAGAACTCTTAGGAAGAGATATCCAGGCGTACAGGAACCCCTTTGTTTTCTTGCGAAACTATCAGGGTACTGTTGGAGGGGCTGCCGATGCAGCCCTCGGAATTCTCGGACCTCCCTCAATCGCCTTAGAAACGATAAACCGAGGAGGTCTCAAGCTTTTCGGCTCAACATCCGGAAACAAACTTCAGGTATGTTTGACAGGAGGAAACCCCACCACAACTAAATGCAAAACGAGCTGAAACTGTGCAGCTCTTCCGTTTCCCTCAGCTTCCGGGTGTCCCCCCCCGACATGGGGGCGCGGACCATCGAAGCCCAGCAGCCAGCAGGGATCGATCTCCTTGGAGTCTCTCGAACCGACAGATAAGAGTATAATTATATGTGTGTGTATATAGATATACATTACATATTATATATATATATATATATATATATACATAATACATACATACACGTATGCTCTTATATCATGTTATGTTGTATCAGTTCATCTTACTGTAGCATAGTTTACTGGACCCCGACTTGTCCTTGGTTAAAGACCATTCCAGGGTCTGGTCTGGATGCTGAGATACAGTGCCCTAGCTGCAGAAAAGCACAACAGGTCTGGGGGGGTTGCATGCTTCCGGAAGGATCTGCAAGGAAATGTTGCAACCGCGATGGTTCCATCAGCTTCATGAACGCCAAGCCGAACCCAGCAATCCCGGCCCCGTACTGTTGCACTGCGCGATACCTCACCCGCAACAAAGAGGAGGTTAAGCACTCCGAAGCCAAGCCGAAAGCCGAAAGGTGTGCCTGTGAGAAAACCGTTCCAGAACTAGACGCGACATACCTCAGGATGGCTTTTGAAACGTGTCTCCTAGATCCCAAACCCTAATTCAACATTCTGACGCATGCCCAAAACAATAAAGCCGATCTTGAACCCCAAAATAAATTTAATCCCAAACCCGAAGCCCTTCGGCTGTGCTGGGAACCCGTCATCCATGGTCTGGGGAAGCTCCTGCACAGTCTTTCGATCTTATAGAGCGATCAAAAATCTTCGGTAAGGCGATGGAGGGCTCAGGCCAGTACGGGGTTCAGAATCTGTGTTGGGGGCCTCACTAAGATTGAAGGTTAAGGAGCCTTTTGTCAGAGTCGGACACGCATTTGTATATGTCTCTATACAACACGTGCGCGGGAAGAGGCCGAAATGCTGCTTCAGGCCTTCGGATCTATGGGGCGGAAGCCTTTGGCATGCGAGGGTCCTCACACCTTGCGGTTTATGTGCGGTTTCGGGTTCAGGAGCTTACGAGCCGGCAAAGAGATGTTCAGACCCACAGACGCCCTCAACGGACCCTGGGTAGGTGAGCTAAACCCAGGGTTGCGATGATGCCTTCCTCCACCCTGAAGCCGAAGCAAGATACCCCAGTGAGATTCTGCTCTGTGAAACGGTGAAACCACACATCCTTCGGCCACCCCAAACCGCTAACTAACCCAACAATCTGGGCCCCCGCTGCCCTATGACCCCAGGGCACCTCTGGAAGCATCTGCGGCGAGCAGGTCGTGACTCCAATCGCCACACCATCCTGCCAGGTGCTCTTCGTGAAAGGCCTGGGGCCTTGGGGTTCATCGAGCATTCAGGGCTCGAGAAGATCCCCAACCACAGCAGCCGACACCCTCCAGCCACGGAAGATGCCGGCACGGGCGTTTTGAACACTGGCGGTTACGAGACTGCAGCTTGGACACTTTGAAGTCTTCGGAGCTATCAAGCTGAAGATACAGGCATTAGTATGCTGCATAAGGACCCAATCTAGCTTGAAGGCTTGTCCAGTGCTTCCTTCACGGAAGCCATCGACGGAAGTACATCCTAGGCCTGAAGCCCTGCGAAGCCAAAGTTACGGACGCTAAGCCTGAATTGCACATCCCTGCGTGCAACTACTTTCGACAAAGGTTCTGGGCCTTGCAACCCGGAACGAAAGCTCTATTTAACGCAGATTCAGCGACCGCGAAAACATGAAGCATTCATCCCTGAACTCTATCCATGCCTTAATCATCAACCCCAAACCTCAAACCCTGTCCATAACCCTGAGCCGAACCCGATCCTGAAGCCTCAACCCGAAACTCTAAACCCCCTTCATCGCTGAACCGTTGCAACAACCCCGGATTCTGCTTTGGCCTCCAGCCCCTCACGCACTGCATCCACGCAGACTTCGAAGAACCAGCCTCGAGTCTCTGGACAAGTGGATGCTTCAGGGCATTCTGAACTTTGGGTTTAGAGTCTAGGATACTACAAGAGGCTTCCGTTTTCTTTCATTTCTTTCTCATACGGGCGCCGTGTGAAGAAAGCCATCCATGGCACTGTGGTGAAACGAGGTGGTCAGCAACCAGGTGTCCGCCAAAGCGTTGTCAAGGCCCGCATGGCCCAAGCAAAACAGCCAAACCTGCTACTTAAACCCCGAGTGGACCCCAAGTACTGAAGAAGTCGCAAACTCCCAGACATCCTCCATAGTATTACTCGTTACACTGCGTAGGACAGCCGGTGTCCCCGACGACTTCTTCACTGACAAGGTTGCGTTTGCATTTGGGGAGTAGGTCGCCTTCGTGGTGTGCTGCGAAGGAGCCTGACCGTGGACGCAGTAGAATTTGGAGAAAAGATGTGTTGGTTGCTGGTTCAGAGGTTGAAAACTTAGCGTCTCAAGGCGCAGTGTTCAGGATGACGAAGCTCCATTGAACCTTACTGTGTCAAGCTTCATGTAGACTGTTGCTGATCCTGCAGGCCGAAGCCCTAAAAGCTTGGGGCGATGCAATCATCGTAGCTCCGCAGTGGTCCGTTGCCGACGAGGCCACCGAAGTGCTCGTAGGAACTGACAGCAGGGAGAGACTCCCAAGCCTGGAACCTCCAGCATAGGTTGTCATTGTTCTCAGGAGTTGCAGGAGTTCTCGTGGCGTTGCTCATTCCGAATAAAATTGGCGCGCAAGACCTGAAAGTTTATTCAGTTTATTCGTTTTGGGCACTCGAAACCCTCAACCAGACTAGAATCGCTACAACTCGAAGCTATCATGCAGCAGTTGCCAGACGCCTGGACGCGTAGCTGGCGGCGAGCCCGTCGGAGGCGAGGGAGATCATCTTCCCGTGCCTCCCGAAAGGGGCAATCTGAAATGGCTTTGCACACTTCTCGGGCTACAGCTTAGAATTTGGAAAGTGGGGCCACGGTCCGAGACGGCTGGGATCCTCGAACCTCAGATCACCTGCTTCAACAGGAGTTGTTTAGACAACCAGGACAATCATGCTGGATCCCAATCAACTCCGATGCCAGCGGCCTGTCTGTTTGCACCACAGTCTGCGTACTGAATCAGACCGAACGCAAAACAGACCGAACTCACACAACAAAGCGGCAACAAAGGCGTGGTGCTGAAGCGTGACCTCAATCTTGATCAGGCTCACAATAACTAGTGCCCATGAAAGCCATGCTACCCATCGCGATTGCAAGTAGGACTTGATGCTGAACATGCAAAAGGCTCGCTCTACCACTGAGTCGCTTATCCGAGCCCTGAACTCTAAAGCCTTAAAGTCTCAGCCGCCTTCACCCAAGACTTCCACGGCACCGCCGTGGCCCGCGTCAGACTTTCCTCGAAACTCAGGCTCTCGTACTGGCCTCTCGCTACACCAGCCGGTCATCGTCGGCTGCAACTGAGCCAGGATACGGATGCAGGCAGACTTTGGGGTTTCGGCTTCAGGGTCGAGTCATTTAGGGGGGCGGGGGTGGGATGGAGGTGTAACCACTGGTGCGAGCGCTAGTGTTTACCCATTCCGGTCCAACACCCCGAGGTCCTGAAGCCAAAATCCAGATGTAGCCCTTCCAAACTTCTGCTTCGGGTGACTCCGCGACTAGGGCCAAGGTCACAAGTGGGACCCTGTGCTCAAGTCCTTTACGAGTTTCGATGTCGTCGGCTTCAAGGGGTTTTGATGCGAGACTCTCAGCAGAAACCTGCAACGCTCTCAAGCTCTAAACACGACCGACACCTCGATCGAGGGGAGTGCCGGTGGGCTTGCAGCTGCCCCTGCGCAGATGACAGACATGGTTGTTCAGAGCGTGGGATGAGGGAAGGGCCTGAAGGCTCTTGGGTCAAAGTTCAGGTTTACTCGAAGCCTGGAGCGCTTGCCTAAAACGGAAAAATCAATGTCCCCCCCGACGTTCATGTCATGGCTTCCTGATGCACAGACATCCAAGCATCTTCCTGAAGCAGCTGCAAGTCTGTTCTGCTGCTTCCCTTCAAGCACCGATTCAAACAACGTCTCGATCTGCGAAATGGCAGTTTACTTCCCAAGTCCCGTGATCCATTCAAGCGCCACCCCCGAGAGGACCGGGTCGGCCTGATGCAGAGCCGCTCGATCGGGGTGCTGCTGCATCCAAGAGCAAACGGACCTTAGCTTTCCGGAGGCTTTGGCGCTGGGGCTTGGGTTCAGGCAAGGCTTTAGGTGGGCTGAAGGCCTGACGGGGCTCAGGGCCGAGTGGGAAGATCAAAGCTCCGGAAGCAGGGCCCGGCTGACCAGCCGACGCCCTCCAAAGAACTCAGTCGAAATCACAGGCCCCGACTCCATCCGTGGCACCGAGCAGGTCGACGAGTGCGTAGAGAGGCCTCAAAGGCCCGCTGGAAGCGCTTCGCAGGCATCCTTAAAAGCCGTACATCCGTTATCCCGGATCTAGCTCCCTCAACATTGACTCGAGATTCGCTCTCGCAGGAGCTCAACGGCAAAGTCCCCCAAAAAAATGCGCTGAGAAAATTGAAAAGAGGCCTCATCGCAGTTCGGGCCGCCGGGCTGTGCATTTAGGGAAAGTTCTGCTTTGAGTTCTACCTTTCTCGTCGAAGGGTTCACCGGACAGCCTGGCAATACCATGCACGGTTTACGATGCAGCAGCTTATCAAAAAACTGTGAAAATGAAGCAATACCTCAGAATCCAAGCTGTCTCCCCATCGTCGCTGCCTCTATCTATCTCTCTCTCTCTCTCTCCCTCCCGCTCTCTCCGATGGAACCAGAGAAGTCTACAGGAAGGCAACCGAACCAGTCCTTGCACGGGTTCCAACTTGTTCGGCTGCAGTGAGAAACGTCTCCCTCTCCCACCCACGTGGCGCTCCACCACTACACCCCAAAATCCCAAGCCTGAAGTCATGTTAAACTCTTTCACACACAGGGAGAACGCTTCCGAGAGCCACACACGTTGGTAGGAATGCCCTGGTGGGCTTGCGCCGCCAGCTTGCCATTCCTTGCAAGTTCGGTGCTTGCCGTCTGATGCCGGGGTCCAGAGGAGTTGCAGATCTAGAGTTTAGAGGTTCCGTTTCAAACCCTACGCCGTCCGAGGCATGGAATCAACTTTTAGAAGCCTAGGATACTCGACCCTCAAAGCCGGCACCCAACCTAAGGCGTTGCAGTCCCAGAAGCTGGAAGAGCAACATGCGGCCTTCCTCGGCGCAAGAAAGCAATGAGAATTCGCATTTATCATAGCTCTGGCTTCCGGACTTGAGGTTGCGGGCTTGGGGGTTTACAGTTCTGGGCTTCGCAGGTAGCCTCCAGCGCAGTACACATCCGCGAAGTTTACCTCCTGCGACTTTCCATCGGCAGGGAGCTCCAGAACTAAGTCGAGCCTCTCAACTCCTCTTCGTTTCGAGCGTAGCTTGCAACATTGGAGCAGAGTCTTAAGGAAATCCAAATGGAACCCTCCTGTCGAACTGCGATGTTGAACATGTTTTCCCTGGTTGCATCAAACCCGTAAACTTCAAACCCACAGCAAACCGGACCCCCCGAATCACAGCCCTCCGCACGATGAGTTTTTGCAATGGCCTCCCTGTCATTCCCTGACATTCTAAGATCCGAACCATATTTACGTGAAACTCGCTCGAACTCTTGAAGCCTCAACGCCCCGGAACGCTAAGCACTCCCATGGCCGCCCGTAGCCCTGAAGCCCTGGACCCCAACACCAAGCATCCCCAAAAACCCTAAACTCCTGAAGACCTGAAACCCATAAGCTCCGCACCTGCGTGATCTGAAGGCCAATCTGATCTCCGACGGACAGGTCACGACCTGTTGCAGCTCTTAGAAGCAGGCGACAGCAATACAGGTGCCTGGATACATGGGATCAAGATTTCGTGGATATGAAATATCGTTATCACGGTGATTCTTATTGCTAGTGTTGTGATTGTTGTTCTTCTTACTATTATTCCTTACGTTGTCTTACTCTCCTTTGGCTTGTTCTTCTTGCAAAACATCAGTGCTGGCGTGTTCGCTCGACTAGCTCGATAACACGAACATCGCTAATGCTCTAGCAAGAACAATCAGACTTTTGTCGTGACCACTAGTCCATCCAACATGAAGCCTACTCTTTCTGACAACACGACGGTTGGATCTACTACTGTGATGATTGCTTCTCTTGCTATGCGAATTGTGTTGCTACTAGTATTGCATGCTGAGAAAGCGGAGCGATCAAACATCGTCTTCAAGTCGCCGTGCAGATTTGCTTGTTCAAGGCTGCTCCTGGAATGGTTCTTTGGCAGGTTCTCGTTTTACAACTTGCGGTCTACGCTGGTGGCCCAAGCTGGGGCGCGGCACCATGCCATGCAAGATCGGTCCAGCGGTCGCAGGAGCTGTCGAACATCCTTGGCTTTTGCATTCTTCGGATCGAGGGGATTCATCATCCATCTAGGGACCTCAAGAGGTGTATGGGGGGATCGCGGGGTTACATCATAGTACATCCTCATCACCAGCCTATATATCCCACACGCATGCAGATGTGCGAAAGTGACGAATAAACATCTCGACAGCTCCGTGAAAGGGCTCACCACCATTTAAATCCCCAAATCACGACCAGTCGCACGCGTGCAAGCAGCAGCAAGCTTCTTGAATCTTAGAAATCCTCGGAATATTCATGCAACAGTCTCCGACCTCTCAAGCCTGCAGGAAGAACATCGAGGTCCGGTCCAGAGATACAAGAGAAAACTGTTTCGGGGCTCAAGCAGTGAATCCAGGACGCGCTTGCTTCTGCGTCCGGGTGTGGTTCTGTTGCTTCGGTGATTACCTTGCCTGCTCCGGTCCGGCTTCTGGCCCTTTCTATGAACGGAAGTATGATGACACTCTTCCTGATGTTTCGAAAGGAGCCCACAGATGCCACGAAAGTCTGAAATGCAAAAGGCTACGACACGGTCTTCACTTGTTACGTACTTTAGAGGACTCCCGTCCAGCTTTCAATCCCAGGCACTGGCCGTCGTACCCGGCCGTCCAGCAGTCCTTCACTACGGAAAGACAGCAAAACGTGGCCAAGCAGAATTGTCAGGATGTTGGGGGTATGGTACAGGATAGGCATCACAGACAATTGGTATTTGTTAAGAATTACTCAGGCGTCTGTAGTACGTTCTGAGCACTGCCTGATTTTATGCCGGCTCCCCTCCTGCACGCCGTCGATGGTGTCTGGCCTGCTTCGGGCTCCAACAGGGCGTTAAGGTTCAAGACGTCGGGTTTAAGTCGGGTCTTGAAATGTGGGAAGTGACCTAAATCTACCCCAGTGCTGACTGGGGTTGTGGATTTTATGATCCTAAACTCGATTCCGCAAAGAACCGAAACCTGACTAGGAGCATCCACGAACAAGATCCTGCATTCCTGGAAAGATTCCTGCGATTAGTGCACTAAATAATTCTGCATGTTTGATCTCACTCTTAGGTATGGGGTTCAGGAGTTTGAGCTTTCGAGTTGAAACGAGCTTTAAGTCCTCAGGCTATCGGGCTACGACGATTGGAGTGGTGTGACGCAAGGCTGAACCTTTCGGGGATGCATAATCTACTGCAGCCCTCAGCTGGAAGACTGGATCAAGCGGGGTCGAACTGTCGGGTTTGGGTTTGAGAGGTCAGCCAGTTCAAGCAGATGCAGAAACACGAGCACCTCCGCGTTCATGACAAAGCAGCTCGGCTATATAAACCCAGCTACACCACCTTGGACCACTCAAAGCAGAATCCGAACGAATCTCCTGGCCCTTGCGGAAATGCTGCTGAAAGTAGTTCTGCCAGAGCCCTGGCTCTGTCACCCCACGAAAAGCAGAGGCAGCCCGCCAGTCGGGCACGCCTCCGATCCTTCGGAATGCAACCGGAAGCCTTTCTCCAAGAACAGAGAACCCAACTTCCGTCGAAGCCAAAGGGCATGTCCGACAACTCGTGGGGCGGCGTGGTGGTGACCCCAAGCGTCAGCCCTTAGCACTCCCTACGCTTCAATTCCAGATCAGGCTCCACGGCTTCTGTGTTCGGATTTCGCTCGAACAGTTCAGGCATTCCTGTAAGAAAGCCGCAAGCTGCGTTTCGCTTCCAGCTGCGGACAGCTGCGAGCGACAGGCGTGTGCAGAACGGAAGCCGAAAAAAACATTAGCGCCTCGGGCCTGGGCTCAAGAGCCACCCTTTTTCTTTATGCTCCTCGTATCTAGCAGAGTTTGCAAGAAAGGCTCAGGCAGATCTAGGATGTACCGAGGAACACACCGACGCCTAAGGCGGCAAGGCCTCGCAAGAGCCCAGGAGCCTTTCCCTGATCTTGCGGGCTCCGAGAATCTAAGAAGGGACCACCCCCCGGCACGAAGAAAGCATCGAAAAACCATACAGAAAGCTTAAAAGAACAATATAGCTATGGAAAAAGCACGACTGGGAGCTGAGCCATCCATCATCTCGGCCCGGACCTTTGTCACCTGTCAAGACGACCGATTGCCAGTGCCAAGATTGCTGTACGAAAACTTGCGACTCTTGTGTTTGTGGCAATCGTTATGAATGTCGCTACGTCTACATCTATCGGGTTTAATTTGAAGCTTTAGACTGCAAAGCTTTGGGATTCTAGGGCACAGGGGCGAATGGATTTCGAGCTTTTTGGGTTTGGGGTATGGGCCTTCAGGTTTCAGGTCTTTTGGCTTGTCTGGCACAGGGCCTCATGGTTTGGTGGGATATGTTGCTTCAGGGTTCCGGGTTTGGGGGGGTTTAGAGTTCAGCATACAAGGCTCCAGGGTTTTGGTTCCCTAGAATCTGGGTCTTGGGGTTTTTTGGGGGTTAGGGCTTTCTTCTCACATCTAAGTTGGGGCCACCCCGAGACGCTGACTTTCTTGTCGCCCTCGCGCCGTTGCTGCACTGCCCCCTCGAAACAAGCAGCTGCCTCCACCGCGAAGTAGAAGCCGCCGGTAGCCTGTCTTTGCAGCCTGGGCTCCGGCGCTTGGGGTTTTGAAACCACGGCGTGAGAGCCTGGCAGCCTGAAGCCCCGAAAGTCTGACTACTAATAACTAAACACAAGGCCTCGAACCCTGACCCCTAAACCACAAGAACCAGGTGTGAGGTTGATATTAATCGGATGAAAGACATTGTCATTGGCGATAGAGGGCACGATGATAACACTGCGACGGCAGTAAGCATCACAATCGTAAGGGCACCGACGAGTCAACAGCAGAAACACTACAAAAACAGAAAGAACAAACACTAATAGTCAATCACAGCGTTAATAGCAGCACTCACATTACCCCCAAGTCACAGGAACACACCACTGTTGTTGTGCGAATCTTGCACCAATGCTGCCGAGACTTGCAAAGACCAGGCGGGCTTTGCATATTCGCCCGGTCTAAGATTTAAGGTAAAGCCGAAAAAAAGCAAGAACCGGATGTTTGAATCCAGTGACATCCGCCCAACTCTTCGACAAGGAGCGAATGATTGCCGACGAGCCCGCCATGAAGCTCCAACCTTCGCAAACGGGGCTTCGGTTCTCGTTCTGTTGCTCGATGCCTCAACACCCCTGCTTCTTACTGCAGCTAATTCTGCTGTTTCTGCTGCTGCCGCCACTACGGCCCCTCCAGCACCACAACTACTCCTGCTGCGACCACCACTACTACGACGACGATGAGCGCTCTTCCTCCACTCTCTGGTCCTATACTCGTATGACCCGCTGCAGGCGTCACCATCATTCAGACAACATAACTACCACCGCTAGCAGCAGCAGCAGCACCACCACCACCACTAACACCAGTGCCATTGCCAACAATACCAGCAGGACTGCGAAGACAACATCTTCTGTTTCTACAGCAGCCTCAGCGAAGCCGATAGCTTCGATTTTGGTTTCGGGTTCAACATGTCCAAGGCTCCAGGGACGACTGCTCCAAATCCGAAGCTTACGTTTATGGCCCCACGCGAACCCGTAAAGGAAATCCACCATTCTTAATGCACAGTCTTAACAGCTAGACGGCCACGAAACAATTGCAAAAATCCAGGGAGAATTCATGCGACTGTACGGAAATTACTACGACGCAACGGTGAAAAGAGAGACCACACCGTTCCTGGCCATCTACCGGTCCTGTTGCTAAACTGACGCCACAACAGGCCGTCGTACGGCAACGACTACTGACTACTACCACCATGATCTGCTGCCACCAGTAAGCAGCATTAACCTGGGGCCGGACCCAGTCTGTCCTGTGTAAGTCGCTGCGAGCCGGTCCTGCTCCCAAACTGTGGGTTTGCAACCTTAAGGCTTTGGAGATTGGGGGCTGGAAGCACGGCGTCTTACACAACCTGCCCACCACAGCAGCTCAACCCAAGCACGAAAAAAACACCGGCTAAGCATACCGGGCCCAAAGCAGTCAATAAAACTATTCAGGTATAACCAACACAGTAGAGCACCGTTTTAGGCTTCTCGGGTGCCTTGCGGAATCCTTCGGCCGAAGCGCTTACGCCCCGAAGCTTCTTTTCAGCTTGTCCCTAAGGACTTCGGGTTATGTAGTCATTTCATTCTAAGGTGTAGTGTGTTGGCTTGCATTTGAGGGTGGTGTTGCTTCATGCATCGCCGGGTTTGAGCCCTAAACGGTAAACTCCGCACCCCAAACCCGAAGCTGCAAACTCTAAAGACCCTAATTGGGCCCCGAACCCCCTTTTGAGGTGGGTCTCTTTCCTTTGGGCGTTCGTCCTCCGAGAGCTGCACTCGGTATCCGAGCTTCTTGCTGTCGAAACCCGACCTGGGGAACTCCGTAGTTCAGGGACCCGAGTAGGGGGCGTTTTGGCTCGATTGCTGTAGGGCTTTAGGGCTTCACTTTAAGTCTTCAAGGTTGGCACATAGGTGTTTATGAGTTATTGCTCTTCCGGGTTTAGGGGCTTCGGGATTTTGATTTGTATGTCTCCGGAGCTGATCACTTTCACCCTAGATCGCATACGATGCTGGAAGCACGGCCCCCCTCAACAGGTCGCTTGTGCAAAGCCTCTGGCATGAAAGCTTCCGTGGGCACCTGCAGATGGCTTGGATTTGCCTGTTCGGTTGAGGGTGGGACGGGGTGTAGGGAGCTTGTTCTGGAGATGGGAGCTTGTCACAAAGGAAGCCCGGCTGTTCAAGAGCCCTCCTGTGAGGAAACGGTTGCTCTGAGCTGTGTTCCGCAGACTTTTGCGCCCGAGAGTGCGAAACCTTAAGTCCCAAACTACTAGTCAGATGGGATCCGCTGTGATGAGCATGCAAAAACTTACCGCTTGGGGCGAGCGAACACTCCGAGAAGCTCGTCGGAGCACTGAAGACAAGCTTAGCACCTTCGCAGTCCTCTGAGCAGGAAAATCTTGTGGGAAATCAGGCTGCTAAAGGCAACCTGCGGCTAGACTCGGTTGGAGCGAAGCCAAACCTAAGGAAAGCGAACGCCAAAATGACACACGCCGAAATAAGGACAAACACAGAAACCAATCTGAGGACGAGCCTCGACACTACACCCCGAAAATTCAGGGGCCCTAACCTGAACAAAACCAAATTTCAAAGAACTCTACTCAAGGCCCACATGCCGTGCCTGAGGCTCGCCTCCTCCGGAACTGCGAACAGGTTCGGCCTGTCTGGAGGTGATTCGAAACTGCTTGCGGTTGAGGGGCTTAATGGCTCGGGGCATTCAGGGCTTAGTGCCTTGAGGGGTTGTGGCTTAAGAATCCGGATTTTGGTCCGGCCAATGACCCTTCTATGTTTGGGATCAATACACTTTCGGTCAAGTGGCTTGGCACTTTCACTTTGGACGTTGGGGTTGCAACAGCATAACACCGGACTGTCCTCATACAGAGCAGCAGCAGCAGCAGCAGCAGCAGCAGCAGCAGCAGAAGCTGTGCATACGTACTGCTGATTTTCATCTGTGGCGACAATCACCACCTTATCAACTCAGCGTAGTCCAGTTTCGGGAAGCATGCGTTCGGCTTTCTGTGGCCGGCTCAGTGCTGAATAGGACTCGCGGGCACGGAAAGAGAAGACTATTGGCAGCTGCAACGTCTGAAGTTGAGATCCTGCGATGGACCCCAAAACAGAGGAAAGTATTCGGATGGAACGACCCCCCAGGCAAACCCAAAAGTCATGCCATCCCGTTAGACAGCCTGGGCTGGCGTCACCTTGTTCGACACGTCCTGGCAAACGCAACGCGACAATTGGGTGTCGGGCTCGGGGCAAAGCAAGACAGCCTACTGTAATGCTAAACATCAGAATTGCTCTAATTCTATCATAGCATAGATACTCATACCGAAAGCATCAAGCCGCATCATGGCAAGATTGGTTTTCGGCCAAAGTCCCCGCAAACTGCACGTGCCTGCGCACGTTTGTTGTGTAGGTGCACGTGTATGTGTATGTTTGTGGCGTGTGGGTATGTGTGTGTGTGTGGGTGTGTACGTGTGTACATGCGCACGTTTGTACGTGTGTACACCTGTGTACACCTGTGTACACGTGTGTATGTGTGTATGTGGGTATGTAGGTATGTCTGTATGTGTGTGCATGTGCATGTGCGGCGTGTGTGTGTGTGTACGTGTATGTGTGCATGTACATAAACATGTCTGTGTATATATTTCTCTATATATATATATATATATATATACATGTATGTATGTATCGTATGTACATGTACATGTACATTATACATATACATGCGTACATACTTACGTATGTGTATGTATATATATATATATATATATATATATATGTACGTATACACCTGTAATTGTACATGTTTGTTGGTGAGTATGTGTGTATGCAAGTAGATCACTCTCTCGATCTCTCTCTCTCTCTCTCTCTCTCTGCGGCTTGCGAAGCGGTGCCTCGCCGCAGACCGTCGCCAACATGCTCATTTACTTATTGGGCCGAACTGCTTTATCTACGAGTTTCTTGCTCCGTATGCTTATGCATGTCTGTCTGTATGTATGTACGTATGTATGCACGTATATACACATACATATACATATGCATATACATCACATAAGAAAATGCGCGCACGTTTATGTCCGTAAGTGAATGTACATTTGCGAACACAATTATATATACAAGCTCTGACATTCTCTGACAAATATTCTTACGAAGCTGAAAAGCAGCCCTTTGCAAGGCTTCTGTCGCAATTATGTGTTGCAAGTTCGAGGAACAGTAGTTCCAGCTGTAACAAAGCCATGCAGCCGGGGGACAGCAGTGCAGCAATGCTGCAAACGAAAGCCGAATCCAAGCCCATCTCAAAGGCAAACCCAGAATCTGCCCGAAAGTTCGACAACCCAAGTCGGAACGCACACGGCAGGCGGCATCGCCTCTCTGGTGGCTATCGTCTCTGAAGGCTTGGGCGGGAGCCTCGGTGATCCGACAGGATACAACAATGCGCACCGGAGCATGTACTTTGGCATCCAACTTTTATCAACAAGATGGTTCTGAGATGGTGACGTACATATAGAGGCAGATGTCGAAGAATGTGAACTTGAAGGAAAGGCATTTCAATTTGCGCTCGGGCAGCGATTTGCGAAGTGCAAGCAAGCAAACATGCTGCTGGACCTAGCACCTCGCAAGTCCAAAAAGCCCACTGACATGATTGCCGACTGACCCGGTCACGAGTGGGCCACGCGCACACCGGGTGCGGTGAGAGCCCCACCGCAGGGCAGCGAAGCTGCGGTGTTATGATATGTTGTGTGATCAAGCCGCGAGGCACAGTCCTTCCAAATCTCGCCGGTCAAATGTCTGACACTTGTTGGAGGAAGACCCTACGAGCACGACCCACTCTTAGGCGATTCGCCGATTGGATTCCTTTCGCCTGCCATGTGGAAAACAACTGCTTTTGGAACATAGCCACTAGGCTCGTGCTACGCTTCAGACTCCGCAGTGCAAAGCTACGTGAAGTCGGAGCCGGGCGCAGAAACAGTGAGCTATCTTGGCCGTTCGGCACCAACGACAATGAAAAACTTGTCCATGGAGGTTTTCTTTCAGACCGGTGGGCCAACTGTCCCGGTGACCCCAGGGCTATAAAGGGGATGCGAAGCTTGCCCAGAAGAGCACAAAGTGTGAGTAAATTCCATGACGTCTGCGCAGGCAAGGTACATTATCACGAGGACGAAACTCATCCGCTGCGCAATCAAAGGAGGGCATCCAGCCAACACCGACTGACAAATTCGCGAGCAAAAAAATCCGAGCAGACACTGCCGGCAGCCATGAAAGCAAAAGGGATGAGAACAGAGGCAGCGGGAAAACAAAGCCCATCGTTGGTGGGACGCTTACCGTACGGGCCGGGCCTCCTGAATCTGCCTGCACAAAACTTGCGACACATCGCACGGGCCGAAGAGAAAGAGAGATATAGAGTTGTGTACAAACAGAATGGACACGAAGAAAATGCGCTACACTGCCGCGTTGCCCTGAACCGCAAAAGCAAACCCCGAGTCTACTATGGTGGGCGGAGGGCCGAGCTCCCGGCGCATCGATGTCCAGCCCCACCTTGAATTTGTGGGTTCTTTCGCTGATTAGTGCTTTAAGCATGGTTGTAACAAGCCTGCAACGCGGCGGTGTGCCTGACGAGGTTGGGGCGGAGAGTTCTCGGGCTTTGGCACGGGATCTTGTGCCCCTTGAGATATCTACGTATCCAGAAGGTGTTCGTTGGCGTGCATGTCAAGATGCATGCTGGAAGAGGACAGGAGTTTGGTCAGTGGACCATCAACACAGATAACCTGACTATACCTCTGCTTGTAGCTATATTCGCCACGTCCGTACCTTCAGAAGGGTGCTACTTATCCTGATTCAAAAACGGAACTCCGGGGGCTGGGGCCTTACCAACTCGAAGGGAGCTTCGCTCTAAATCTGGAACCCCAGAAGCATGTAACCCTGAATCCTGAAACCTGAATCGAGGATCCTCTCCTCATGGCAGCTCAACATGAAAGCCTTAACAGTGTGCAGCAGAACTTCCGAGGGCAGCGCATGGTTTTGTGCTCAGGTATCGCATAACAGCGGTTGGCAGTTGTTGAGATCCCTACCGGGCTAGTCTTCTGGCTCCAAACTGGCCCTTCGTGCCTACAAGGGTGACCCTCTTAGATCCCTCAGCACCTGAGACTGAAACTCGAAAGGGATTCTGAAGGGATCTGCTGGATGCCCTCAATCCTTAAAGGTCAGCAACAGCCCATGCAAAACCTCACACACGAACCAGACAAGCCTGAAATCCCCAAACCTCAAACCCAAAACCCAACAAAACTCAACTTAAGCCCGAAACCTCTCCTCCCACCCCTCCCAAGCCACCCGCCCAGCCCTCCCCTTTTCCCGCTGCTTCCCGACGAAAGTCCGTGCTACCCAAGATGGCTCCGCCTCATCGCACTGCCCGAGGAGGTCGCAGACCCCAAAGAGCGGAGACGCCTCGAAGGAGGGCGGAGCTCCCAAAAAATTCGGCAGGGCTGGGGGGTTCTGCAAGGGCAGTTCTGTGATGTAGGGGCCTTGATAAGTAAAACAAGGCTTTGAGGTATCCTCTACTATAAAAGTATTGTTGCGTTCCTTAGGGTTGAGGTTTTAGCCTAAAACCTACACCCCAAGGAACCCAAAGGATTCTAGCTGATGAGGCTTCGAGACGAAGGGATCGGGGCCCGACCTGGGCCGGTAGAAGGGGTGAGCAGGTGTTCAAGAAGGGTTCTGATGCACAGCTCAAGGCTCTTTCGGGGCGTTGGGGTGTACAGTTTTTAGGGCTTTGGGGCCCGAGGCTGTAAAACTAAGCCTTAAGTCTGAACTTTAAGACGGCAAGAATCCGAAGCCGCAACTTGTTGAGGCCAGGACGAACGGCACGTGAGCACCAGCCCGCTCAAAAGCCACCTCGAAATCTCACAGTTGGGGTCTTCGCTTTCGGGTTACCTCGTAAATTGTTTTGGTCACTTGCAGCAGAAGCCAGTGGATTACATCAACATCGATGACTGAGTCGCAGCGGCAACGAATGCAGAAAGCTCGAGGGCGACGCCTGAACCAAAAATGGAAGAAGAGCAAGCCCCCACCATGTAAAAGCCTTCAACCCGGCAACTGCCCTTCATGCCAGGGCTGTGCGGCTTGGTGTCCAATCGTTGAAACGCAGAGAGGGATGCCGACCCAAAACCCTAAACCGTCCCAAAACATCCCAAAACCCTAAACTCTTTACCCCTCATCCAAAATTTAAACCTATGGAAGAAAGCTGAGCCTCGCCGTTCACGTAGACGGCAAACTCCCCGCCAGGGTGGATGAGCACTCCGACCTCAGAGCCGAGCGGCTCAAAAGAAGAGCACGGCGGGTCTCCCAGAAAACTGTCGCAGAAGAGGACTTCTTCTCCCCCCCCCTGCCAGTACTGCTAGTACTGGTAGTAGTTATTTCGACTTTGGCTCCCAACTCTGTCTCCAGCACGCAGTGTTGAAGGATTCCTGAAGCCAAGGTGGAGACGGAAGCCATTTCCAGGGGTTACGGTTGGGGCTCGTTGGTTTCTAGGACCGATAAGGGAATCTAAGACTTTGAGATAACGAGGGCAACGAGAATATAAGAACCTGAGTCGAAGCTTGGCTATGTGCAGAGACATCGTAGCATACATGACATGGAGAATATGACTAGGTGTGGTGGCACACATCAAGCCTCTCGAGTAGCGCTTTCTGCAGTCGAACATTCGCATCTCTTGGTCCAAAGCTGCATCAACTTAAAAGGCCACAAAAGCATGTGAGCTCCCATGAACCCAAAAGCACGCAGGTCTCAAACCCTTCACCTGCAACAGCCCTCAGCCCATAAACCTGCCGTAAACCCCCTAACTTGCACCTCCTCAGACCCAAGATGAACGAATGAACTACTCGCGAAGCTCTGAGCCCGAAACCGTCGAGGTCAAAACCCCCTGAGAGACCAGCCAGCTGATGGGCAGCATGTCGGCCTGGCATCTAACAGACCCCAAAATCCAGACGCTGCGTAGGGATGAGGGGTTTCGCTGCAGCGGGCTTGATCTCTCTACCCATTCACTTCTGCATGAAACTGCTAGGCATGTCAGCCATGCCAATATAGCCGCAGCGACAACTACTACTACTACTACTACTCCTACTACCACTACTACTACTACTACTACTACTACTACTACTACTACTACTACTACTACTACTACTACTACTACTACGACTACTACTACTACCACTGCTACTACTACTACTACTACTACTACTACTACTACTACTACTACTACTACTACTACTACTACTACTACTCCGCCTACTACTCCTGCTAGTACTGTAGTACGACGACAACAACGGCGACTACGACTGCTGCTTCTACTACTACTACTACTACTACTACTGCTACTACTACTGCTACTGCTACTGCGACTGCTACTGCCACTGCCACTGCCACTGCCACTGCCACTGCTACTGCTACTGTTACTGCTACTGCTACTGCCACTGCCACTGCCACTGCTACTGCCACTGCCACTGCCACTGCCACTGCTACTGCTACTGCTACGACGACGACTACGACCTGGCCCATCTGCCCCTGTGCCGTGCCCAGCCTTTTTCTGACTCGATGTATGCCGCTGCCGGGTAGCTGTACATCTGCGGCAAAGCTGCATCCTGACGTAACAATACCGTCTTTACGCTATCTATACACGCGTAGCTCAGACAATAGCCTCAAAAGCTGCAGCAGCTGTACAAGTTTCCATCAGTATTTGGAGTCACCCTCCTTCGAGGGTTAGTCCTCTTCTGAACGGTTCAAGAAAGCTTTGAAGTATGCGAGGCCTTGCTCCAGGCGTCCCTTACTCGTGTCAAGAAGCCGTGGCACAATGCAGGTGTGGCCGTCGAGGGGGAGGTCCCCGGTGTCGATGAAGTTTTGGATCCGTGAGACGCAGGCATATCTGGCGATGTTCTCAGTGTAGTTCATGAGGTTGTGCTCCTCCTTGGCCTTGTCGTATTCGGCCAGAAGACCCTTGCCCACCGGGCCCGGTGGTATGAGGCAATGGCCAATGCCCTGCCAAGTGACGAGATGGCTCTGTGGAAACGCGCGTCGTGCCAGCTGGGCGTTTGTGTATGCAGTTCGCGGGTCGTGCAAATTCCCCACAATCACGGGGCTGATGTTGGCATCCCCCATGGGCGGCACTGGTCTTGCAGATGCTGGCCAGGTGCTGATGGCCGCGACTATCGCAAGCGAGCGGGGCGTGCCGAGGGGTTGTTGCAACATGGACGTGCGCCACCAACGAATGAAGGCCTCTTCGTTCAGTCTGCCGGCAGTGTCCGTGCTATGAACCAGTGTTACAATACCTAAACCGAACCCGTCCTTGTCAGGAAGTGTCACATTTGCTGCTACCATCTGGCGGGCCCGGCTCAACATGTCGGAGTAGCCAAAATCGTCGTCAGGCACGATGCTCTGCAGCCAGTCTGGGCAGCCCCCAAAGTCCCGCCCAGCTGAATGTTTCTCCACACAGGCAAAGATGACACTGGCGAGCATGTCGGGATTTTTTCCACTGAAGAAAAACGGCTGCAAAAGTTGCATAATAAATGATGCCCGAAATGGATTGCTCGAATCTTGGATTAAGCGAAGAGCCTTGGATTCTGACAACGGCGCAGCAGGGCAATGCTCTTCCTCTGAGATGCTGTCAACTGCAGACAGGTCACAAGCTTGTGTTATGCCGTTCCATGTAGCCGTCATGCCCTTGGCGAACAGCACCCCTTTTTCCTCCACATCTGGGAAGGGCTCTGTGACGCCGTCCAGGACCAGATGCTTTGTGTACTTCGCGAAGATTGTGCCATAAACCCCGGCAACAGCACTACCGTAGGATCCGCCGTAAATCGACATGTGAGAAGCCCCAACGGCGCGACGAAACTGGTCAATGTCCTGGGCCAGATCCATTGTACCACCAAACTGCAGCGTGTTGTACTCCCGACCGCTTGGCGACTGGAGCTTGAATCGCGGAGCATTGTAGCAAAGGCTATGTTCCAGTTTGAGCAACCGGTAATACCAGCGCACAAAAGTCTCATTGAAGTGCTGGATGCCCGATACTGTCGCCCGCAATCCCCCGAACTGGAGAATCGACTCCACGTACGGCGTGGCCTCACGAAAAGCGCTCTCGGACAAATTGGCACCCATTGTCAAGCGGACGATCTGGTCGACATCAAGGAGCGAGCTCACGATCTCACTGCATTGCATCTGAGGAAAGGGAAGGATCGCCTCCCCCGTGCCGTATTTGAAAGGACACGGCGGTGTAGTGATGTTCATGCTTTGTTCTTCGGTGACCACGCCGCGCTGGTCCAGAGACCACCAGTCGAAGTCTCTATGAAGTCGGCTCTGGTTCCCCTCTCCGTTGATGTCCCACCCAAAACTCAAATCAACGCAGTCGGTGCCAGAACCTGGGCCACCGCAGTGGAAAAGCAAAGGACCGTTCTTGGCAGGCTGCTCTGTTGCCGGAATTGCACGGACACGCAGGCAAACATAGGGCACCTGTTCATAAGGCAACATCGCCATGTCGTGCACCAGGGGTGTCTTCAGCCAGCCGAAGTAACTCGGAAGTCCGTCGCCCGTCGAAACCTGCTCATCCCAGACCAAGACCTCGGGATCCGGGTTCCAAAAGGACCATCCTTCGTCAACGCCTTCGTTATTGGAGACTTCCTCCTTTTGCCCTCGCAGCCGGCGTGCCGAGGGCTCGGCGTTCAGTCTTCCCTCTGCGGCCCCTGAACCGAAAAGGACCAGCACTAGGTAAGCCAAGCGTGCCATGGCAGCTGAGTAGATGCAGGGAGAGCCACACAAAAGCCGGGAATGGCTCCAGCCAAAATCTCAGTATAATGCTGTAGACATGTCTCGTCCGAGGGCGACTACGACCTCGACTTGCAGTTGTAGGTTTAGGGGAAGTGCTGCAGCCTCAACTCCAAACTCCTCCGAGCAGCCGCACCTCCAGTGGATCCCACATTAGCCCATCGTAGCCCGCGATCCAGGTGTTGCGTACCCTGGGCGAGCAGACGGAACCTTCACCAAGAAAGACTCGGAACTGAGGCTGAATCGAGAAACCTTTATCTTCAAAGCCGCCGGGGCCTTGGGAGAATGCTCAACCTGAACCAAATCGAAATCCGAAACAGGATATACGATAATCTCCTAAAATTCACCCAAAACCTGAGCCTTCAGCCTCAGCTTTCCCCAAAACCCAGACACAGCGCCGAAGCCTGAGGCCGTCTCCACGGGCGAGGCTCCTCTTATAGCTGGAGCGGGGACGCCCTCCGGAAGAGCTGAGGCCCAAGCCCGTCCATGGTGTCCGGCGGCCCTCGCAAATCCTGGCGCAAGGAGGAAGGAGGGGCGGCGGTGGCGGGGTGACGGTACATGTCTCCCCTCTTTCGGAACTTTGAGAAGCGTTCATGCAGCTCTTGCGAAGGTGCTGCCAGTATCGGTTTGTAGTCGTCAGGACTCACCAAAGCTTAAGCTCTAGCCCGCAGGGCGCTCGCGGTTCAGGCTTCGGAAAGAACGGCCCTGGCACGCGCTGTTGCGGCTGCTACTCAAAACCGACGCCGCTTGAGGTGCTTTCTGCAGAGCTTGCGACATCATTACTCTACCAGAACAAGGACCCCGTAGAAAGTTAGTTACCGATTCTTGAATAGCCTGCAACCCCAAACCCCAAAACCAAATCCCCCAGCACTAATCCCTAAATGCGACTGCCAACAGTCGTCACGTCCTTCGGTCGGGAGGTCGTGACGCCGATGCAAAGCCCATCGGGGTGGCCTTGGCAGCTCGAGTTGTCGTCTGCTTCGGGTAGAGGATTTTGAAGGGCCTCATGCTTTCCAGTTCAGGTTTCAAGGCTATGTGGCTACGGGTGTCCAGGGCTTCAGCATTAGTCGCTCCGGATATGCAGGGTCATGTGAGACTACGACACCTTCGTCAGAGAGTTCTGACTTTTGGGACTGTCGCTGAGGGCTTCGGCGGGATGTATTGCTTAACGTTTTCGATTGGGGGTAAGCGTTCAAGGCCCTTCAGGTTCAATGAATCTGAACCTCTAAACCCTGACACCCGACAAAGGTGCCCCCCAGCATCACAGCCCACAGACCTACGATGCTTTTAGGGTTTGGGGTCAGGGCTTTGGGCATGACCTTGCTCATCTAGGGTTGGGAGCCTCGTGATTTCGGGCTTCAAGGTCTTTAGCGGTGAGGGGATTCGATATATGATTCGCATCAGGATGAACAGCGGCCATGTTCAGGCAATCTGTTGGCAAGCAGGTCGATGCTAGGAGCCACCATCATGGCCCAGGCCCCCACCACCGACGACAACACCATCATCACCGTCGTCGTCGGTACCACAAGAAAGAATATCCAAGAATAACCACAATGTCGTGAATATCCATCAGCGTACTGCGGAAAATCTGGAACATGGGTAAAGAAAGGCTGGTGCCGAGTTTCACCGTACTTTGCCTTAAAGGCATGAAAACGAAAATGTCCAACTTTCTCACAATTATTGTAAAAAAAAAAAAAAAAGGCCGACGGCTCATGTCTGAGAAGGCCGGGCGACCCTCCCCAGTGCGCAAGACCTCCACCTCAAAGTACTTGCCTGATCCAGGAGGCTTGGGGCTTAGGTTCAAGGTCTAGGCTGTGTTCGTGGCACATCTTGCCACCTCAAAGTCCAACAGGGTCTGACACGAACTTGGCTAGTTCCCCGCGATGTTGAGCGTAAACACCTCTGGTCTATGAGTCTATGCGTTGAGTCTTATGCTGCTGGCGTCTGAACGAGGATTACGTACTTTAACTGTGACTTCTAAACACTGTATCAACAAAGAAAGAACCGTCATGCTGCTCCCAAACCCTAAAATCGAAATCTGCCCTTACAGCTCAACATGTTGTATTATGTTGTATTTGGGTTGTTAGGTGAGCGTAGACCGTGCAACCTGCACCCGGGAAGAAATAAACTAAACACTTCGTGCCATTTGGGCCGCTAGTTAACGCAAAACCGCTATGAGCCAAATGCACGTGTTCCACGGTGACCCCAAGATACTGTAAGGCTTTCTGCCCTGATCATCACACATGACAGTGAGCCAAGCCCTGACCCTCGCTGCGAGTCCCAAGACCTGATTTGAGACGAGTCCTACATACCAAAACCCCCAACAGCCAATATCAGAATCAAGCATGTCGGCACTTGCAGCCAGCAGGATTCCACGTGGGGCGACACTCCAGAACGGCTCTGCGGCCCCGGATCGCTCAAGACAGCCTGTACGACCTTTATGTAAAGTAGTACTGTCAATGGCTGGCAGAACTCCTAATACACGAAACCCCAAACCCCACAAGACCCTGATGCATCTTGCTTGCAACAGCCAGTCAGGCACACTCGCCCAAGCTTAATTCGGCTCTCTTAGGCTTTCGGGGTTGCAATTCGTTGTGAGAGTCCCGAAACCTGGAACCTTAAACCACCATACAGGAACTAGTCCCACCTGAATCCCAAACATGTGACATGTTTTGGATGGAAAACTAAAGCCTGAAGCGCAGAAACTACATGCCCTAGCCACCCAGACCCGAAATTCTAAACCTTTGTCACACTCAAAAGACTCAAAATCTTAAATAGTCTTAAACCCACCTACACACTCCCTGGAACCCTGAATCCCTTTCGACCTCAACCTCCTCTCTGCTCCAAAGCCCTGAAGCGCACCTTCGGCTGTACTTTTCAGCGGGGCATTTCCGATGATGCCCCCGTGCAGCTCATAGCTGTCTTCCTGCTCCCAAACTCTGAGGCACAAACGCCCTAAAACCTGAAACCGCCTAAGGCCCTAACACACCAGACGCCTGAGACGCATTGATAGCCTTCACGAGCCCTAAAATGCAGAAACCCCACCACGAGGAATGCTGCGGAGCATTGTACAGGGCATGTAGATGGTGGCTCTGCGTATCCGCAGGGCAGCGGGTCTTCGTCCATAAAGCCTGTGTGATGTCGTAACTTGATCATGAGTGCCTGGCAAAGCCCCCCAAAGCCCAAACGGCCTGCTTCGTGCCGATGTAGGCGGCACGCAGTCCATCCTCCGAAATGCGCACAAAGCCTTGGCAGAGTCAAGAAGGGCTAAACCACACTCATGACACGAATAAGCGTCACGATTTAAAGAAAACTGTTTCGGAACAAGACTCAGCACATTCCTGCGGCTTCGGAGCGGCTGTGGAAGGACGCTGCGAAGCCGGACCTGATGCAAGAGAGCCGCCATTGTAGTCGTAGGCTTTGCAGGCTTTGGGGCTTCCTGGTGTGTAAGTTTTAGGGTTATGTCGGGCTCTACAGGGTTACTTCATGTCTAGTCAAGATGTTTCGGGCTTAGGAGTTGAATAAAGTTCACTTGGCTTCCCACCACGAATTGTTGGACAGGGGAAGCTACCGGATTCGGAGACATTGCAAGCTAGGCCGCGAGGCTCCAGGGAGGGCTGCGTAGGACGGTATTTGGGCTTTCAGTGGAAGCCTTGCGGGTTCGGGTGACGGGCCCAACGTTAAGGCTCCTTTTGGTCGAGAGTGGTCTGTCTCCGTCTCTCTTGCAGAAAGCCTCGAGGTTGATCTTTCGGGACTTCGGAACTCGAGGCATGTTGAGACCGTGTCAGGAAAGACGGTCTGCTGGAACCCAGTGCTGAACCCTTTGTGCAGCAAAGATGCATTTCTGCTGGGAGCCGGCTCGATCGCGGAGTGACGCTGCGCGACGGGGCTGCCTGACCGAGAGAAGCCACGAATCAGGATTTCCGAACTTCAGGGTGAGAGCTGGTAGGGTTTAGGACCTACCGGAGGGGCCTGATCAGGCAGGCTGCATCACAACTCATCTGGTTTAAGGTTCGGTTCAGGGTGTAGGGTTGGAACTATGTGGTGGATTGGGGCGCAATGGTCAGGGTGTTGGCGTTTGGGCTTCCGAACAATCCGCACATACCACTCTCGGCTTACAGTTTGGGGCTTGGCGTTGTTGCATTTTTATGATCCGTCTCATCCATTGAGGCTCGTGAAAGAAGCTTCGTTGATACTGAGGCATGGGGTTCTGTGGCACACTCTGCCATTACCCAGGAATTGCACAGCAAAAATATTTCTGAGAATTGGTGCTGTTGTCTGCAATGCAGGAGCAAACCGCGCAACCGATCGACCTTGCAGTTGACTCTAGGCACCTGAATCCCTGGAGCCTAAACCCCTCCACTTACATCCCAGATGACCTCGGAAGGCTCAACGTCGGCGCCAACTACCTCGTCCTGCCAGACAGAAGCTTCAGTGTTGCAGGACTTCCGCATTCCCGAAACCTCTTGTAACCGCCGGCTTGCCAAAGGCTTTAGGGGGTCGGCTCCACCGTGCAGGGTTGAAGCCTTCCCGGATCAGAACCAGGAAAGAAAAAGGCAGAGCGCGGTCCTCGCGATCCTTGGGTGGTACTTCCACTGCCACTGCCTGCGCAGCGGAGTGCATGTTACACAAGGTTTAGGCGCGAGAGTTCAGGGGCCCATAGGGTTCGTGGAGTGTCGTAAGTACCTATGCATGTACATTGTGTGTATGTATATGTATATATATATATATATATATATATACGTGTGTGTGTATGCATACACACATATATATATATATATATATATATATATATGTATATATATAAATTATAATATATATATATATATATATATATATTATTATATTATATTATATTATATATTATATATATATATATATATATATTATATATACACATATAGACATACATACATACATACATACATATATATATATATATATATATATATGGTCACGTGTTCCGCAGCCCCCGCCTCCCCCCCAAAGGTCAATGGTCCGGAAGTAGGGTGGGGCCGCCCCCTCCCCTGTGGTGTGGGGTGTGGGGTTCCTCTCCCCCCTGTGGGGTGGTTGTCGGGTTTTGGGGTTTAGGGTTTAGCTCAAGCTTTTGAGTTTTGGGTTTACGGTTGCAAGGTATAAGGCTTCGAGTCGACAAGGGCTTAGGGAGGATTTGCGGTGTATGCTCTGCTTTAGGCTTAGAGCCTGCAGATAGGTGGGGTTTAGGGTTGGGTGTAGCGTTTTAAGTACAAGTTAAGGTTGCGCAAAACAGGGAGGGGCACGCGCCACGCCGGCTTGCTTGCGAAGGGCTTGCGCGTGAGCCCTGGCCGCCAGCACCACCCCACCATCCAGTGGCAGCTCCAACGGCCCCCAACCCCTTTCCGCACACGCTCGCCCCCCCCCCCCCTGCTATCAGACCATACCATTGGGGGGGGGGGGGGCGCTGGCAACGCCAGACGCCTGACCATATATATATATATATATATATATATATACACATATATATATATATATATATATATATATATATACATATATATATATATATATACATATATATATATATATATTATGCCTTTAACCCAACCGTCCTCAGCAGCTTGAAGGCGAGAAGCTTTGCGAAAGCATCTCTTTAAAGTAGCAAGGAGGCTCTGTGCCCGCATCTGCCAATTCCAAAGGCTAGCAGGCCAAAAATCACAAGTAATGACATCAATAACCTTTTTGCCTCAAGCCTTCTGTGAAGACTTGGATTGATGGAACCTGCTGGTACCAGGGTCTTGCGTAGCCGAAGATTAAGCTGACTCCTCCTGGTACGACAGCCACCCATTCTTGAGCCACGCCTTTCTCGCGAGCTCCAGTGAACAGAGCAGTTGCACGCCCTCCCCCCTCCTCCGTCTTCTCTTCTGCCCAGTGTGATTCTGCCCAGTGTGAGCCGCACCCCTTTGGCCATCCCACACATTCACGGTCCATGCATGTTTACTGCGATGGGTCGTAGCCATCAAAAGCAGCAGCCATGCACAGCAGCCGCAGCAGCATCACAATCGTTATCGACATCACCATCACCATGATCCTCAACAGCGTCATTATGTACAGCTTGTCCGGGGTTTACCCTACAGGCCGTCGAAGAGACCGAAAATTCCCTCCCAGCATCGCCTCCTTGGCTTTCTGCGCCTTCGCCGCCTGCGATGCCGAAAACCAACGCTGCAACCGAATCGCTGCTTTTTCTTTTGAAGTCCTTGCCGGGCCTCGACAGGCTTCGAAACTCAGGCCCCTTGTTCTGAGGAGGTCTTTTCAATGGTAATCTCACTGCCAGAGCCGAACTCATCATCCCTTTTCACACGGGGCGCGGCATAAGAGTGTCATAAGAGCTTCCCAGAAGTCCAGAAGGAGTGCTTCCTTGTCCTGCTCGGAGCAGCTCGGCGATTCGATCTCTTTTTTCTCGTCTGAATGGGCTGTAAAGGAAACTTACTACTAAGCATTGAAGCGCCTGAATGTACTCTTAAAGCCCTTCGCTCAGGGCGACAAGAGCTGCCGACTCTCCGAAACGACTGCAGGGATACAAAAGCAATTTATCAGGTTGCGATCGGTCTGCTTGGAGGATCGGCTTAAGGCCTCTACGAGAGGAGTTCCAGAAGGGACTCGAGACTGAAGGGTTTCCAAAAGCGCTTTATCCTATCACGGTTGGGGTCGGTGGGGTAGTCGTATATGACAACCTGCTCACCATTTTTCTTGCGACGTTGCCGATCCTCCAAGTAAGGGGCAAAAGATGTGATGCAAAGACCGCAGTAATTCTCCGTTTTGCCTTCCTGCTTGCAGAAGACTGCGTTTCAGGATCTGGGGTTTCCTGAGGCGTGGGGTGTAAGGGTAAGGTCGAGGATCTGAGCTGTGAATTACTCCGGTCCTGACGACGGGGGATCCAGGTTGAACTCAAACAGATACGGATAGTGTCGAGTCTCACAGACTCTTGCTGTGAAACCATAAACCTCAAACCTTATAGTGCTTGAGCTCCGACTTTTCTACAGCGTTGCTGTTTCTTGACTCCTACACATACCAGCATCTTGAAGAGTTTAGGGTGGCGCAAGCCCTGTGACCTGCAACCTTAAACCCCCTGCCATAGAGGGTCGAAGCCCTGCATGAACCAACCAAACCCTAGACTTGCTTGAAGCCGTATCTATGGACTACTCTGTTGATAAACCATTAAAGAGCCCATTGAGATGTCTGAATCCCCCGAAGCCCACACGGGCCGTTCACTCGTAGACGGAGGGCTTGAGTGCCGCAATGTACGGAAGATTGCGGTAGCGCTCGGCATAATCGATTCCGTAGCCTGCAGGCCGGTAACCATGCGAAGCTCAGGGTACAGAGCGTGTTAGGAGACAAAGACTTGTCAGCACGTCTCCGAAGAATTGCGAACCCAAAACCTGAGGGACAGCTTCAGCGGTTTGCTCCAAACCCTGCAAGGAGTACGGTCAAAGTTCAACCGCAGAAAACCGGGCTACAGCCGCTCAGCACGACATGCAGCTCGTGAGTCGAGCACTGTAAGCTGGGGAGTCTCAAGCAACTGCCAACCCTCCAACATCTCATGGTCAAGTCTAGGAGTCTATGCCCTGCCCGCACCAGCCTACGATGAACTCCTGAGTTCAAAGCAGCGGGGGTTCCAGAGCGGGCTTCAGGTTTGGTTCCGTCGTCTTGGGCTTTTTCGGCTTCGGGGTGAAGGGCTTCAGGGGTTTCCGGGTAGAGAAAGGTGGGACTCGGCCAGAAGATACAAATGGTTCTTCTTTGGCTCAGGCACCCTCCAAGCTTTGCAGTAGCCTAAACCCAAAAACCTTCAACCCGCAACCCTGCTAAAGAATCCGAAGACGGATCCCGAACAAGGAACTTGGGGCTAAGTTGGGGTCAGGGGACTCGGATTAAATCCATTTTGAGGTTTAAGGGCTCAGGGTTCAGGATTCTAGGGGGATGTAGGGGGCGATGCTTGAAGAACCAGGACCCCGGGACCTCGTGAAGGGCCAGCAGGGGCGGGGTTTCGGAAGGACATGAGACAAGATACCGTTGGGAATATACACACAAATACTGGAAGAGTAACAAGAAAGATAGCAAGAGTTTGCGCAACGCATATACTTGAAAATAGCTCCACTTCCCCTAAACATCATGCCCTGGACCCGCCCTGCAAACAAAAACACAGCGATTCTCATCATCGGTGCAGCTCAGCGACATTGGGACCTCGGACCGGGCAGTAAAACAAACAAGGCCTGTGGAGACCCAGGTTCGACTTGTGGGGCTTAATTCAGGGCTCTGAACAGTTATCCTAAACCTCCAACACTGCAACCTCAAACAACAAAATCCACCATGCTCCTCCTTTCGTCTTCCATCTGCAACTACTGTACAAAGAACCCATAAGCTTCTTGTGCATTCCTGCCCGACCTTCAACCCTAAGCCCTGAGCCTCGCTACACATTCTACCTCTTTGCTGAGACTGCAGAGACCCACAACCCTGAAGCCCCTTGGCAACCCATATCCCTCAACCATAAATCCACACTAAACCACGCCTCTAGGTCCCAGCCTTGCAAACCCGACCAAAGCGCGCGGCCCTGCCCTTAAGTCCCCGGCATTCGAAGCCAATGTAACGCATCTCCAACCCATCGACTTCCCGCCTGGCCTTGCGGTTGCACTTAGAGCCGTTCGGGTTTCGGGGGCGGTTTTGGGGCTTCGGCCTTTACGTAGGGTCTTTGTAGGGTCGTCTCGGATACTGCTCATGCCCACACGTGCATACTAGGCCCAACGGCCCGACAGGTTTAGACTTTAAGCTCGAAAGCCGGACCAATTCATGAACCCGACAGCCCTCGCTCCAGCATGACGTCGGGCTTATTCTTTGGTTGATGTGGGTTGGATTTTCTGACCTCAAAGACTCAAAGAGCACTACACAGGCAGTGGGCCCTCTGGATTCTCTGTTTCCGTTAAGATCCTAGGGGTGATGGGATTGCCGCTTCAGGGCGCGAGGCATCAGGCAATCTTTGAAGAGGGCTGATCGAGCAAGCGCCCAAGCCCTAAGCAGTGTTTGAAGAAGCGGCTGCGCAAGTCCAACCCGTTAACCGGTGAAAAGTGTAGAAGACTGCTGCTGCGAAGAATGAGCGGGCCTTCTTATCGAGAAGCGTGCAAATCGAGATCCTTAGAACGACAGGGCGCATCCTCCCTGCTTCTGATGCTACTATGGTGCGTACGAATGCTGCACGTAACAACTGCTACACCGGCAGCAGGTGCTGGTGGCGCTGTTGGTGCTGCTGTTGATATGATCCCGACGACCAGGTCCAGTTATTCTGCATGTCTCTTTCATTTGAGTTGCGTGGTTGGGATAATGCTTACCGCTCTCCGCAGAGTATTTTCGAGTCCAAAAGCGTTCTTCCCGCTACTGATACACTACTGTGATTATCGGTGAATACTTACGATCGACAACATCCTTGTTGGTGTTGTTGCTGCAGTCAACATGGATACTGATACTGCTGTTGCCGGGACCATGACTTTTGAAGATGTTGCTAGTACTCTGACTACCATAGCTACGGGTATCGTGATTGTTGGCACTTTTCTCACGGCGCACTTGTTGGCAATACTTCTGTGACTATGATGATGGTGCTGACGAGTTGTCTTGCTAGTACTTTAGTGATGGCAATATGACCCTTGTCTTTGCTGCTTTTGTTATCGAAGACTAGCTCTTCCAGTGGCAGCGCACCTTTAGCTCGCACTGCTGTTCGCTTGATGTCGTGAAGGGTTTTTGCACGCTGACTCTAGCACGCATAGCCTTGCCCCACGTTTAGGGCTGACGGCATCTAGCCTGCGGTGTTGGGCTTTGCAGTCTCGGTCTCTTGGCTTAGGCTCAGGGCGGTCAGGGCGAACCTCGACACCACAATCCGCAAGCAGCCCGAAGGGGCAGTCCAGAACTGCCTCTTAGAATTGGCTAAACACGACATGACTCCCTGAATTCCTGAAGTAACAACGAACATGCGAGTACTAACAAACGTGGCAGAAGTGCGTTGCGGAAGCCTACACGCGAGACCGGAACCCTCAACCCTACCTAAGACCTGAACCCCGGGACCTGCAGCAGCCTGCATCCTCCAAAAAGGCTGCAGCCCGGCATCGACGCGGCCCCTCGCTTCTCGAAAAGGTCGCAGATGGCTTTTAGCCTTATTGGCTCTTTCAGCGGCTTGGCGTTTCGGGGTTAAGGAGCTACCTTGAGGATTCCCCGACTGGGCTTTCGGGCTGAAAGCATGGAGGCACAGAGGTGCCAAAGACTCTCAGGAACAACTCTCTCACCACACACGCACCCTGACAATTCCAATGAAAGGGGAAAGAACACTAAAGTCGAATGTGAGCCCAAGCGTCGTCTTTCCGGTGTCGACGATGTCCTGATGCACCCGAGAGGTAGCAGCATGTCAAAAAGTCCAGACTCCAGGGATTCGCAATTTCAGCTGGGCCTTCGTGAGCTAGGTTTAAGCTTGTCCGAAAAGGTTCTCAGGGTCGGTATGGCAGGTAGAGTTGTGTAACAGCTTGCAGTTCTTAGGGCTTTTGCGTGGCTGAGTTGAAGGCAAGGACTGAGCTTATTCGCAAGTATCCGTGCTACCATAATGGTTCACTGCACTCAGGCTCGCCTGGCTTCGGGGCCGCCCCATCAATCCAAATCACGTTGGAATGTAGGGACCAGTTAGTGCTAGGGCGCTAGGTTCTGAGGGTTTGGAGGAAGCGGTACAAATAAGGAAGGGATGCTGGGCTTGTGCCCTTGCCACTTAGGACCAGTTTCGGAGTTCGGAACATATGTGTGCATTGGATGCTTGTCCACAGGTCTCTCCGTAAGATTCAACTGGTGCAGCTTGCAGACAAGACAGGGAAGCGCATAAAGAGAGGAGCGTGAAAGAATGCTATATGGCATCAATTAACGCATCCCCAACCCTCAAATATCCTGCCCCTTTCTCTCGGTCAGGGCAGCGGCTATTTCGGGACATATTTAAGGACTTGCCACGTATTGCCCGAAAAACCCTCAGGCAAGTCCTCCACGAAGATGACGTGCTTCCCCTGTGCACTTGGGGGAGTTCGGGGGCAAGTGCACTCTCTTCAGCTTAAAGTGCGTAAAAATGCGTAAAACCTGGCAACACTTTTTGACCCAGAATCTGTCTTTTCTGACCCCCACCTTTT